TTTAAAAAAAAGAATTGGCCAAATTGGTCCAGACGTTGTTGAGTTATGCGCTTACCAACGCATTTTCACTTTTACACTTACTTTTTTCCTTTTTATGGTCTGCATTGATTACATCTGGGTTCTTTGACACTATCAAATCATAGATGATCACCTCACATCTTGGTGGCATTCATATAATTTTATTTTTGTTTGATGAAAATGGTTTTATTAAGTTTATTGTTATATTTAATAACTTTATTTATTACGTTAGCAATGTGAGGACTTATAAAGCATACATAATTATGCCTAATATTTGAATGCATTTCCATTGAGGGTTAGTGATATAATTAATATTCTTTGCTAAATAACTTGAGCAGCATCCCAATATAGTGTTTAAATTCAGGATATATTTGCTACTCATCTTGGAAATCAAAAACGTTGCTTTTACCTTTTAATTCATCAACGATTGCATGTGCATAAAACTTTTTTCTGTTCATTGTAAACACAATGTGATACTTTCTGATCTTTTATGACAATTTTGATGATAATGTTTTCATCATAATCATAACACGGTTGAATGTAATGTTTTAAAAACACTCATACACAGACACTATTCAAAGATGTCGTTGACTGGAGCTTTATTGATGATTGATTAGATAGCAAAGTAACTATTAATGCAGAGTTAATAAAGATTAATGTCTCGTAAATGAATTTTAATCCTAGGAATTTAGTGTTTTTTCAATTTTGATATCAATATATATATTTCATGTTTTTAGGACTTTTTTGTTTGCGAAGTATTTGTTCATTTTAACAAATTATCTGTTCTTTTTATTTTTTAAATTTTTGCATTACTTTTTTATCCTTTTAATTTTTTACATTCCTTCTAGTTTTGTGATTCCTGCTAAATTTGTCATTCTATCGTCAATACTCCTGCGCTTTTCTCTTCTCAGTTTTTAATATATTATTATTAGTTTTTAAGTAATTAATATTAATAAGTTATTTCTCTTTAATTTTTGGTGCTTTAAATATATGTCTGTAATATACTTTAGTTAATATTAGTCAGTAATTTCTGTTTTGTTTATAATTTTATATTGTATAATATGTTAATATATATATTTATAGTTTGTGATATATCACAAATATGTTTGTGATATATTTGAAGATATATTTTGTATTCCGTATGTTTTGTTCTTATTTCAAATATTAAAATTTTATCAGATTTTTTCGCTGTGTTGATTATATGAACAAATGTAGAAGTAATACCAGGGGTTAATTTACAAAATGTACATGTGCTGCCATCAATAATCTTACCTCCGCGCTTCAATCGATGAAACGTCAGATCGCCAGACATAGCTATCTATTTATACTTGTTTATCTATGGCTTGCCCGATGCCTAATTGACTACCTGTGACTACCTGCCTCAAGTTTAACAAATTGAAATGTCTTTGTTTATACATTCTCGTATTGGATTCGGAAGCGCGTGGTCTATTTCCTGGTCAATATAATAATAGTGGTCTATTCATTCATCGACAGGCGCCGAAATGACATCCACTCTCCCGAATGATTTTAAATCGTGAGTTGATCAATTCATTTCGATACTGATTCGAGTTATTTCACTTGATCCTTTATTTTATTAGTGATAATTACAATTAATGCTAATAAAATATATTTTTTAAAGCTCTCAGGTATTTTTCTTAATTATCCGAATTTACAATGTCTCGTGGTCAGAGGTTACGCGTGCACATGGCGTGGACTATTTTGCAATTAATCTTATTGCATCGGTCTTAATTATCATTAGATAATTGCCGTTTTATATTTAACAGCTATTGTACGTTACTTTCTTAAGAATTTTAGTAATATTTTTTAATTTATTTTATTTTTTTTATATCGAATCATGTGCACGTGCCCAATGTGGAATTGCTATGAACCATGATTTTATATGTATTCATCAAACATTTTAGACAAAGACTGACCTCGTGTAAAGTAATCTTTGTGCATCGCGCTTTCCATAATAAATAACTATGGCATTTTTTAACAAACTTTGCATATTTTGGCTTGATTGAAAAGAACAAAAATATTCTTTTCATTTTATATCCAATTATGTATAAACATGTATTAGAGAATTTTGTGATATGAGTGAAAATACTCAGATTTTTAACACACGCTTTATTGTTAAGGTAATTATACTATTATTTTGTCGTATGGTTTCATTTAGTCGCAGTTAATATAATCATATAGATCTTAAAAATATTACTAAGTTCACACATTTCATAAATATGTATTATTTAAAGAAATTGGAAGGTTGATTATTATTTTACATTATATTATATTTAGTACATTTATTCACAGAACCTGTGTCTCTTCAGCACATTGCGCTACGGGCATTTTATATGCATTTGGATTGAGTCCTGGGTGTGTATTTGTGAATAAAAAATAATTTGATTTATTATATTGATTTATAATAATAATTATTTTTTTCAGTTTGTCCAATTGACGTCATATTAATACTATAAACCTCCTTGGAGTCTCGCAAATTTTACATTTTAGTACTAATTTTCGTTCGAAGTTTAGTTCTGTCGTAACTGAATGCCTAATCCTGTATAGTTGTAGAGGTACGTTAATTAATTAAATTATTTTATTTATTTATTAAGCTTTGTGTCCAAAAATTCAATACTTTTGTTTGAATATATATGTTCATGATGGGTATTTTTTTGTGACTCGAAGATTTATTCAAATTGAAAATAGATTTGTAGCCAAAGAATAGTTGATTATGAATAGATTTTTTCCTAAGTATGTTTTAACATTTGTAAATTCTATTATTCCAAAGATATTTCATTATGGATAGATTTTTTTATCGAATAGTTATAGATAATTTTAAGTTTTAAAGTTTTATTATTAATAATAAACATTTTTTTCTCTCGATATGAATGAATTTGATAGTTATATATCTATTATACTATTTTGCAGATTTTACTAGAAGCCGAGTACATTGAATTGTTACTCATTTGTTTTAAGAAGACTATTGGAATCCTTAGTGCCTATCAGAAATTTGAAGATAAGGTAATTATATTATTATTTTGTCATATGGTTTAATTTGGTTGTAGTTAATAAAATCATGTAAATCTTAAAAATATTACACTTATTTCACAAATTTCGTAAATATGTATTATTTAAAGAAAATGGTAGCTTGATTATTATTTTACATTATATTATATTTAGTACATATTTATTCACAGAACAACCTGTGTCTCTTCAGCACATGAGCGCTACGGGCATTTTATATGCATTTGGATTGAGTCTTGGGTGTGTATTTGTGAATAAAAATTAATTTGATTTATTATATTGATTTATAATAATAATTATTTCTTTCAGATGTTTGTCCAATTGGCGTCATGTTAATACTATAAACCTCGTTGGAGTCTCTGCGAATTCTACATGTTAGTACTAATTTTTAGTTCTGTCGTGATCAAATGCCTAATCCTGCATATTTGTAGAGGTATGTTAATTAAATAAATTTTATTTATTTATTGAGCCTTGTGATCAAGAATTCAATACTTGTTGTTATACTCCAAGTATGGTTTATAATGTATATACTTTTCATTTGAGAATAGTTACAGTTCAATTGTTTCTTAAGTTTTCAATGGTTCGATGATTTCTTCAAAGGATAGTAAATAATTTATGAATTTTTATTCGAGCAGTAATTTATAATGGATATAGGTATTTCTGCAAAAAATGGTTTATGGTTTCTACAGTTGTTCAAATTATTTTGCAATAATATAATTGTATTCACATGAGTATAAAATTATAAATGATTATTATATTTTTACAGGTTACCCTTACAGGTTGAAATGTATTCAACCAATTTTATATCGAACTAGGAACTACATCTATTTACTACTTGTGGAGGCAATAATAATGGCTACCTCGATGACAGACAGAATAACAATAGTAAGTAATGAGATATTTTATAGTAAACATCTTATTTTTGTAAATTTGGAACTTATGAATAATGAATATCTAATGTAGCCGGTGTAAATTTATTTACCCAATATTTTCTTGAACTTATATACATAATGCCATCAAAAAGTCAATTGTTAAGCATAATTACATTGAAATGGAACATCTGAGAATAAATAAAATGATTTGATTTATAAAATTATGTTCCTTTTGATGTAGAATAAATGTTCTTACGCAATTTTTCAGTTTTTGGAGCTGGAATGGATGGAGCTGGTCAAATGTTGAACTCCAAATTAAAAGGTGAAATTGTTAACACGTGAAAGAAGTATATTGCTTGAAGGTTTTTTTTTGTTAGTTTAATTAAAATATTCTGATAGTAGTGAAAAGTGTAAAGTTTTGTGTGTGCAATGTGTGAAGTGATTTTTGTGATACATTCCGAAGGAGTTTTTATTATTGGAGTATGAATGCTGACTTCCAGCTAATCAAGAATGATTGTAAGGCGATTTGGTAAGTGATATTCGTTTAAATGGCATGCTCATATACAGTATGATCACACCAAATTCCCCGAAATATGATTGATATCGAGCAATTTAGGCTTTTATTTAGATACTTTCTTGCAAATTAATTTGTTTTTTGTTAGTTTAGTTAAGGAATTTGCGATTTAGCCTCTTTTATTTTGATACTTTCTTGCTAATTAATTTGTTTTCATTAGTTTAGTTAAGGAATTCGCGATTTAGCCTCTTTTTTTTATTTTGATACTTTCTTGCAAATTAATTTGTTCTTTGTTAGTTTAGTTAAGGAATTCGCGATTTAGCCTCTTTTATTTTGATACTTTCTTGCTAATTAATTTGTTTTTATTAGTTTAGTTAAGGAATTCGCCATTTAGCCTCTTTTATTTTGATACTTTCTTGCAAATTAATTTGTTTTTATTAGTTTAGTTAAGGAATTCGCCATTTAGCCTCTTTTATTTTGATACTTTCTTGCTAATTAATTTGTTCTTTGTTAGTTTAGTTAAGGAATTCGCGATTTAGCCTCTTTTATTTTGATACTCTTGCTAATTAATTTGTTTTTATTAGTTTAGTTAAGGAATTCGCGATTTAGCCTCTTTTATTTTGATACTTTCTTGCAAATTAATTTGTTTTTTGTTAGTTTAGTTATGGAATTTGCGATTTAGCCTCTTTTATTTTGATACTTTCTTGCTAATTAATTTGTTTTCATTAGTTTAGTTAAGGAATTCGCGATTTAGCCTCTTTTATTTTGATACTTTCTTGCAAATTAATTTGTTCTTTGTTAGTTTAGTTAAGGAATTCGCGATTTAGCCTCTTTTATTTTGATACTTTCTTGCTAATTAATTTGTTTTTATTAGTTTAGTTAAGGAATTCGCGATTTTTCCTCTTTTATTTTGATACTTTCTTGCTAATTAATTTGTTTTTATTAGTTTAGGTAAGGAATTCGCGATTTAGCCTCTTTTATTTTGATACTTTCTTGCTAATTAATTTTTTTTTATTAGTTTAGTTAAGGAATTCGCGATTTAGCCTCTTTTATTTTGATACTTTCTTGCAAATTAGTTTTTTCATGTTAGCGATTTCGCATTTTATTTTGATACTTACTTGCTAATTAGTTTTTTTTAGTGAATTAGTTAAATGTTTTATATATCTTTACGCCTTTTCTATTTTCAGTATTTGTTTACTTTACAATATTAGTGAGTAGTTAGTAATTGAACAATAGGCCCAATATTAGTATTTATTCCGATGAAATTGTTGTCAAATTTTATATTTGAACAGATTCGATTCTATATAGTAATTTCAGAATTATTATTTCGTTTGATGTATTAAATTTGAATCGTATTTACATTGAAAATTTTATTTATAATGTTTTATGTCGTTTTGTCTGTATGTGTAAAGGATACAATATTTTAAATAGTTTCGGTTCTACAAAAGGACTACAAACCAATTTTTGCATGACCTGTGTGATCTTACTGTATACATATATCTAATTATGAATGCATTTTTTCAGATACATTAAAATAATTGTTTAAAATAAGTGATGTGCATAAGTGTAGTTCAATTAGTGACTTTAGTGTGGTGAACATTTTAAAAATATAAAATTAAAAAAAAAGTGGTTCGAGTTGTAGCAGCGATGCCGATTGGGTCAATTGGCCCCAGGTAGGACTATTGCGTTTGTAGGTTTTTTATGTAATACGTTTTTTTGTCATTACCTTCTTCATATTAGATTAAAATGTTTGACAACTTGTTTCAATGCTATTTAAATTTATATTCTGAAAGAATCATTTATTAGGTTTGTTTTTACATAATGCCATCTTTTTACATAAACAATCCTACAACGATGCGCAATAGTTTTGAATTACTTTGGCATGCATGTTTTTCACAACATACATTAAAAATAGATTGAACGACTTATTTACTTTGATCGTTTAATTTGATTCGATTTGACTAGTTAGTTAGATTTCTTTGTTTCCTTGTATGTCGAGTTTTTGTTCTCGTGCTTTATTTTTGAGATTGATTATGATTCGTAGATTTGTTTAAAGAATGAATATTTCTTTATCGTTGTAAGGTTTTAGTCTTACAATATTATTAGTTCCTATAAGGTTTTTCTCAAATAGTTTTCATAAATAGTTGCTTTGTTCAGATTGAACATTGTTTTAATTCTTCGACGATTTTACTATGATGGTGTTGTTAGTTCTTAAAGAGCTGTCGATTTCTATAGTCATTGGAGGATTTTGGTCTAGATTTTATTTGTTCTTTCTTAGTTGCACCGTCGCTTGTTCTTGTATCCTTGAATTTTATGCCTGATGTTGCCTTTTTGGATATGGCGAGTCGTTTTACTAAACCTTTACTCACTTTACACACGTTCGTTTTATTTATGCCATACATTCCCTGAATTAGGGATCTGTAACTAATAAGCAATTAATTTGGTTTATTATTTGTTATAATATCTGCAACCAAAGTGTTATTTTTGTTATAAATTCTGCATCTTTATCATTGAATACAATACTGTTACTGGTGGCGGATTAAGCTTTCTGGCGCTCTAAGCCTATCTGATCAGGCGATTTTTTTCTCATTTCACGTTTCAAGGCTTTCTGGACAATTTGGCATACCTTAAAAATGTGTGTATGTAGGTATATGTATGCTCGATTCCTATCGATACGAAGACTTTTTGATTAATTTTCGGCTAAGATTAATTCAGCCGTTTCGAAGATACGAACCAAAAAGTGCAAATAGCAATCAAAACCTTACTACTGCTCTGAATCTTCTCCTTTTATCCATCCATATTTGATTACTTCATTATTAAAATTTATTTAATAGGTTTGACTCATTATTACACTTCTCGAAAGAGAATTTTATGCCTTCGCCCATAAATCGGATTTGCTAATTTTGTTTTCTCGACGTTTCAAGCCATTCTGAATCGAATGAGACCAAATCTGGAAAAGTATGTTTGTTGTGTGTGTGTGTGTGTGTGTGTGTATATGTATAGCTGTGTGTATGTATGAGTCAATTTTTGATATTTTCTCAAAAACGGCAGGACACATTTTAAAAGTTTAAGACATTCGTTGTAACCTTTTGTGCGACGATCGGCTGAACCGTTTCTTTGTAATTTTAACCCGCAAACTTGAGCCGATAACTTTGTTTAGCAAAAGTTCCCAAAAATTCGTTTAATTTTTCATCTTGTAAATGTAAGTGAAATGTTGTATCCAAAATGGACGCATGGTTCTCTCGAAAACCAAATTTTCATTTTTGGCCTCGCCAAAAACTAATCAGCACGTCTCCCTATTAGTAGGAACCGATTGCTTCTTGAATCATTCAAATCGGTTGATCCGTGTTCTCGAAATCGCGGACGAAAATTAGTATTCGAACATCAATTGAAAATTGCAATGTTTATTCTTTGATCTAAAGCAAAAATTTTAATATTGAAAAGTGGTTATATATTATTTAAACATCGAAGTTTTAATATGCACATTTAATTACATCCAAACACACGCACACACGAATATTCATTTTTCTAAGGTATGCCAAAATGTTTAAGAACCTTTGAAACTTAAAGATATGCAAAAAAAATAT